GCGGAGGTCGGTGGTCCTTTGTTGTGAGTAATACTTTCCCATAAACTTCTCATAGAAGACTTCCCAATTGGAAAGCGAGTTCGGAAGCAAAGTCATGAACCAAGTCTTGGCTCGATCTTTCAACGTGTAGGGAAAGCATCTCATCCGAAGTTGGTTCTCGATGAGACCTCGGAGGGGAAATGTGCTGACCGTGGAATAAAATTCTCGGATGAAGTTGAGGACGTCTTCTTGTGGAAGGCCATGGAATGAAGGAAGTTGGTTGAGGTGGATTGTCTTGAGGTCATAGTTTCGGGCCGCCTCCCCGAGCACGAGACATGACGTATTGTCTCCGATGATTGGTCGAGCAAAATAACTCATGTTCGGGGGCGGTGGTGGTAGCATTTGTTCTCCTTGTTCCCCCATTGGTTTAGGACCGGTTTCGGGTTGTGATTGTTCGATGTTAAGTTCGACGTCGGGATTAATCGGTTGGGTATCCTTTCGAGGTAACTCATGGTTTTCATGGCTTCTGCAGGCTGATGAATCAATGGGCCATGCTTATGGCATTGCAAACACTTTCTTACTATAGCCTTAGCGTCCTCCTTCATTGTCGGCCAGAAATACCCCGCCCTCAAAATTTTCGCGACCAAAGCACCCAACTTGCTATGGTCGTTGTTGCATCCCTCGTGCACTTCTCTCAGCATGTATTGACCCTCCTCTTTGGTCACACATCGCAAATGTGATCCGGCATACGACCGCTTGTAAAGAATACCTGCATGCTCAAAAAATCTCCGTACTGCCTTTATCGCCCCCTCCTTTAACTCCTTCAAGATTGGGGCCCTCCAATCCTTGACCTCCTCAATCTCAACCACCTCCGCATCGACCACACTTTTCTCCAGATACAATAGAGTCACACTTCTGCTTTTGCAATCCACCAGACTTTGAGCAATCTTCGATAATAGGTCTGTTCGACCATTCTCCCCTCGAGGGATCTGTATTAGCTCGAATGAATCGAACTCTTTCAACTTCCTCATCTCGTCCACATATTTTTTCCTGTCCTCTTTAACTCCGAATTCCTCCTGAAACTGTCCAACCACCAAATGAGAATCAGAATGCACTTGTACCTTTCGGGCTCCCCCCGCCATAGCTAATTGCAAACCTTTGATCACCGTCTCATACTCAGCTTCATTATTGGACACCGAGAATCCTATCTTGGCTGCAAACTCCAAATAATCTCCCTAAGGGGAAATAAGAACAACTCCCAACCCTGCTCTACTTCTCGCCACAGATCCATCCATGAACAATTGCCATATTCCTCCAGACTCCTCTTCAAGTTTCGTACCCTCCTAGATAAAATTCGCCAACACTTGCCCCTTAATAGCCCTTCTCGGCTCATATATTAGTGAGTATTCACTCAGTTCGACTGGCCATTTCACCAATCGACCAGAAGGCCGCCCGAGCGTCTCTCCCAGCGGTATATTTGTCCTCACCCTCACTTTATGGTTTAAGAAATAAGGTCTCAGCTTTGGAGCAGTTACAACTACCGCCAGAGCACACCTTTCAATCTCCGAGTACCTCATCTCCGCTCCTTGCATCACCCTGCTCACATAATAGATAGGAAATTGTGCCACCCCTTCTTCTCGTAAGAAGACGAACTCACGGTCCTCTCTCCAATAGAAATATAAAGGACCAAATCCTCTCCTTGCACCGGCTTAGCCAACAAGGGAAGGTTAGCTAGCACTCTCTGAAACTCCTCGAATGCACGCTGAGCTTCGTCCGTCCACTGAAACTTCGCGCTCTTCTTCAGTGTTTTAAATAATAGGCCACTCTTCTTTGCCACTTTGGATATGAAACGGCTCAACCCCGCAATTCGACTAGCCAAGATCTGCACCTCCTTAACACTTGCTGGTGATTTCATCTCCATTACCGCCCGCACCGTCTCTGGATTCACCTCAATACCTCTCTTGGTCACCAAGTAACCCAAGAATTTCCATGATCTCACCCCAAACGAGCACTTGGCTGGATTCAACTTCATCCCAAACCTCCTCAAAGTCAAGAATGTTTCCTTCAAGTCCCGCACATGATCCATCTCCTCCTTACTTTTCACCAACATATCATCCACATAGACCTCCATATTCCTCCCCAATTGCCCCTTGAAAATTTTATCCACCAATCTTTGATACGTGGCACCCCTATTTTTTAGGCCGAACGGCATCACCACGTAACAATAAGTTCCTCAGCTCGACACGAAGCTCACCCTTTCCTGTCCTCTCTCGCCAAGGGAATTTGATGGTATCCCTGCGAGGCATCCATCAGGCTCAACAACTCAGACCCAGCAGTTGAATCGACCAGCTGGTCGATCCTAAGCAGCGGGTACAGATCCTTCGGGCATGCTTTGTTCAGGTCCCAGAAATCTATGCACATTCTCCATTTTCCTGCGGCTTTGGACACCATTACAGTATTTGACAGCCATTCTGGGAATTGAATCTCCTTGATATACATATCCCCCAACAGCTTCTCGACCTCCTGCTCGATAATTTTATCCATCTCTGCCCCATGGTGCCTTCTCTTTTGTTTCACCGGCCTCACACTGAGGTCGATTTTTAAGCGGTGCTCGATCACCTCTGCACTTATCCCAGTCAACTCTTCTGCCGTATAGGCAAAGATATCAGCAAACTCCCTCACCAAACTAATCAGCTTCGACCTAGCTGGCTCCTCCAACTCTTTACCGATCCTAAACTTCCTCTCCTCATATCCCTCGACCATCTGGATTTCCTCCACCTCTCCTCCTGGCTGGATATCCATTTTCTCCTTACCCTTCTCAAATCTCTGCCTGTCCCCCTTCGACCTCAACCCACCTGGTCGATTAATCTCCTCCTCATTTGGCTTGGCCTGCCTTCTCGCCAATTGTTTGTTATTGCTCACTGTTGTCTCTGGTAGCAGCTTCTCGAAGTAAGTTGATCCCCGGTAATCTCACCTACGTTTTCGCCAACAGGATACTTGATCGTCATGTGGTACGTGGATATGACCGCCTGGAACGCGTTCAAGCTCGTCCTCCCCATAATGATATTGTAAGTTGATTCAGCTCCCACCACTACAAATCTCACCATACGCACCTTCCTCATCATTTCCGATCCTAGCGCCATCGGTAAACTTATTTCGCCCATCGGCATCACCTCTCCTCCATTGAAGCCATAAAGAGTCGTGGCCACTGGCTTTAGCTCCATGTTCAGCTCCTTGTTAATCTGCACAAAACAGTCCTAAAATATCACGTCTACCGAACTCCCTGTATCAATAAACACCCTCTTCACATCAAAACCAGCAACCTCCGCGGTAATCACCAAAGCGTCATTGTGTGGTAAGACCACTCCTTTAGCATCCTCCGCTTTAAAACTTATCACTGGCATGCGAGCCGTGATTCCGACCTCCTATCTCTTCTTTTTCACAGCTCGAGCGTGCCCTTTCCTGGCATTATTCGAGTCACCATCCGTTGGCCCTCCTGAGATCATATAAATCGTTCCTCTCTTCATGAGAGTTTCACCTCCTTGACCTCCTTTCTCTCCATCTCCCCTGAACCTCTTTTCCCGACCATCTCGACCATCTCTGTCGCCTCCCTCCTCACTCTGTCACTCCTCTCATCTGAATCCTCCCGACATCTTCTCCTTCCTTTCCCCTTCACCCTATCATTTTATACAAACTCCTTCAAATGCCCCGCCCGAATCAACCTTTCAATATCATCCTTCAAATGCCTGCAATTCTCTGTGGTATGGACATAGTCCCGATGAAAACGACAATAAATATCAGACGTAGGTCAAGTTTGGCCTGTAAACCTCATCTTCGGCCACGTCACATCCTCGCTCGGCATCTTCTGCTCCATTGCCTCGAGCACTTCTGTCATATCTTTCATCAAGGGTATGAAATTATGGTACCTCTGTCTCTCGAACAGCAATGGCCTCCCTTTCCACCTAACATCCCTCTTCGCCTGCTTTGAGTCTCGCCCCTCTCTTCTAGGCGACGCTCTTTTCGGCCCACTCCACCTGGGCGAACTTCTCCTCGGCGACCTTCCTCTTGGCGGGCTTTTTTCTTTTTTTGGCTCTGGTCGAGCAGCTCCCTCTAATTTTGCAAACTCAACCTCCATCTCCTTCAAGTTAATATACTTCCTGCACCGCTTCAAAACATCCTCATATGATCGACTAGGGGTCTTTGCCAATGAAGCTCGACAAGGCCCCGCTCGAAGACTCCTTATCAACCTTCCTGCCTTCACCTCATCCGATGCTGAGTGCACCTCCAAGCACATTTGATTATATCGAGCAACATACTTCCTCAGCGACTCCTTCTCTCCCCGCTTCATCGCCATCTAGGTCAAATATGTCTTCTCCTAAGCCACCGCGCTCAAGTATTGATTAGTAAGCTTACTGGAAAAATCTTCAAAATCTGCAATCAACCCCGGAGGCAGCTGACGAAGCCAATCGAGCGCTCCTCCAAGCAAGGTCGATAAAAATGCCCTGCAACATACAGAATCAGAATATCCATGCAACACAGCCATATTTTCGAAAGTCCTCACATGTCTCGACGGGTCAGATGACCCGTCATACACCAAGTTAGTCTCCCTAAAATTATTCGGCAAAGGGGCCGCGAGAATCTCTCTCGAGAAAGGATGTCCTCAAGCTCTCCTATCCGGCCTCCCTTCAACCTTGTCCTGCAACTGGCGCAACTGCTTCGCCATCCTCTCCATCGCATGATCCCTTACGCCTCATCCATCACCATAACTGGACACATCCTCGTCTTGACTTCCTTCCACTGTGGTCGGCGCGGTTGTGGCGTGAGATGTATGGCTTGTGACTTGCTGCACCTCCTGCGCCGCCGCGGCCGCCACCATCCTCTGCATCTCCTCCCTGGTCATCGCCACCACCTGTTAACCGGGGGCTTGCCCACCTGCCTGCGATGGCGCTCCTCCTTGCACCTCCGCTCCTCCTGGTTGCGCCACCACTGGGTTTTGGGGCGATCGCCGTCGCAGCTGCTGACGAGCCTCCTGACCACGACGGGAGCTGGCATCTCCTCCGGGGACCGTCATCGACGCTCCCACACCATGAAGGATGGGTGTAGGAGTGACTGGCGTCTGCGAAGGGCCAAAAAAACCCAGAGGAGGGCCATGCTCAATCAGCGTGTCGTCGTCCAAGCGTCATCGAACGTCAACTGCAAGTTGGTTTTGGGAATTCCGTCCGCCATAGCTGAGCTTCAAACACAACTTTTCGAACAACGTCCCAAAGACGGCGCCAATAAGGCAAGTGTGAGCGTCCTGGCCTGGTTTAGGATAGATCGAACCTCGCCTTCATCGGTAGAACGCCAGAAACCTGCAAATAACTCTCACACCGGGGGTTGTGTCCGGTGAAGAGCCTCCGATGCTTAAGTAAGAATGTGTATGAATATACTGGTGTTAAATAATGGAAAAATCATGTCAAGGAAGAAAGGCTCACCCCCTTTATATAGGATTGAGATACCTGACCTAAGGCCGCTCGGATTTGATGAGCTGGCAGCCCAGGCTGCTCGTCCGTACTCTGACACACAGCGCGCATGTCAGAAGTGGCGCGGGATGTTGGGAGCTGTCAGAGGTGGTTGTCGCTATCAACCAATAAGTTCTCGACACGTGTCCTCCTGCACATGGGATGAATATTCTTCTGAAATTCCGTTAGAGGCTCTTTCACGCGCCTGTGACTAGGCCGATCTATGAAGTGTTAAGTCTGCGAAGTGGTTGACAGGTTGAGGTAGACTGAACTGCTCGATTGTTCACCTGGTCGAATGGTAGATTGGTCGATTGCTCAACTGGTCGATTAGTTGGCTAGTCGATTTTCCTGCCTCTCGGCTTGGTTTCTTCACGGTATGGCCTCTTCGACCGGTTCAGCGGACTGGTTTTGCCTCGTGGGTATAATATCCTATATCAGTTCTGTTCTTCTTCTTGAAGTTTGGACACTCCTTCTGAAAGTGGCCGAATCTTTTGAACTCATGACACTGGTCTTTTTCAACTCCTCGGTTCGCATTCTGGAACTTATTCAGGTGCATCTCGGAACGCTTTTCACCAGACTGTTGAATCGTGTTTTTACCACCTTCAAAGGGCTTATTCCCCTGGAACCTTTTCTTTTGAAATTTCTTCAATTTTGAGAAATTCCTGGTGAGTACAATGAGAGCCTTCATGATCTCATCGGCATCAAAGGATTC